AGGAATTGAGTGTGTTCTTGATCTAAATTAGTTTACTCATATTATACTCTTTAAGAGAGTTTTTGTTCTTGAGTGATTAAGTGTTGTGAACACTTTAAGGGAGGTTTGTTCCCTTGGTTGTACGAAGGAAGGGCATATTCCTTCGAGTTGAAGTCTTGGAGTGCGGTATCTCCGAGCAAGTGTATTGAGGCTCGTGGGACTCGAGTTCTCAGGTTGTAACAGTTTGTTAAGCACCCGTAAGCTTAGCTTAACGGAAGTAGTGTAGCTCGAGAGAGTCTCTCGGGAGACTGGACTAGCCACACGTTGTGGTGAACCAGTATAAATCTTGGTGTGCTCTCTTTACGCTTTTTTACGCTCTTTACTTTTTACGTTCTTTACTTTATCCCTGCGATTTTTATTCCGCGGAAATTTATAAACATTCTCGTGCCTCACTATTCACCCCTCCTCTAGTGAAGGGCACTTATTCTAACATCATGGACACTGGAGCCTCTCACCATATCACCGCTGACCCAGGTACTTTATCTCATGTATTTTCTTCAAACATTTATTCACCCTCTCATATTATTGTAGGTAATGGATCTAAAGTGTGCACTACGGCCTCTGGTAACGGTCTCCTTAACACAAACCCTCCCCTTTCCCTGAAAAATGTCCTTGTCTCCCCTCATATTATCCATAACCTTATTTCGGTCTGTCAATTTACTCGTGATAACAACTGTTCCGTTGAATTTGACTCTTCCGGTTTTTCTGTGAAGGACAAACGGACGGGAGCCGTGATTCATCGATCCAGTAGTGACGGACATCTCTACCCGCTATCTCCAGGCCAACCCCCAACACATCTTCATCTAGCCAAAGTCGACCTGTCCACGTGGCATCGCCGACTTGGTCACCCAAGCCCCGCAGTTCTCCATGGCGTCTCTTCTTCTTTTGATAGTTTTAATAAATCTCAGTTAGACTCTTTATGTCATGCATGTCAGTTAGGCAAACATGTTCGCCTTCCTTTTCAGTCCTCGAGTCGTGTATCTCTTTTTCCATTTCAATTAATGCATACAGACTTATGGCAATCGCCTGTTCCTAGTGTTACTGGATTTAAATTTTATATGATTTTACTAGATGATTTCTCACATTATTTATGGATTTTTCCTCTACGTCACAAATCTGATTCTTACTCCCATCTTGTAAAATTCCATGCAATGGTCAAAAATCAATTTCAAACTAGTATTAAAGCTGTACAATGCGACAATGGCACAGAATATAGAAATAATCCACTAGCCACTTTCTTTGAGTCCTTGGGTATTCTCTTCCGTTTTTCTTGCCCATATA